TTACTAACATACGAGTATTAATTAAATATTTAAACAAATATAATTCATAAATAACAATACTATTATAAATTATTATACTTCTATTTATTAAACCATAATTAAACGTTTATAATAACCAATACGAATGTAGGACTATAAACATTTGTGGAAAATTCTAAGAAGCTGAGATGTATTTTATTTGTAATTATTTTTTACTGAAGAATATTACTAAAAGTTTAGTTAAAATTTAAAACTATAAATTTAAAATTAAAGCTCTTTATTTTGAAATAACGTTTTTTATTTTGCCATAGATATCATATGTAAAATATATATGTCTCGATTAGATAAAATTAGGATAATAGGCAATAGCACATTAAAAATAAGAGATTGTTTAATACCTATATTATTCATAAATAAAAAAAGTAAAAGTTTTATAACTTATTTATAGTTTATAGAACATAAAAAAACAAAATTTATAATAAGCGTATGGTCTGCATATGTGAGTAAGTTATCACTAGTGAGATTAGGTTTAATGTTGACTGTTGACCTAATGTCAAAATGAGAAAAAAATTTACTCATTGGTGTCACGTTCAAAGTTGAATGGAGGAAAATAAAATTAATTACATAATAGGGAGAGAAAATTCAACAATATTATACATAATTTATGGGGTATGCAGGGTATACTTGATATATCCTGTATTAATAAAATTACACATGTTATAACAGTTAAATAATATGAAGGAGTAAGCACTGAGCATGATAACATTTGCATCATTATAAAGTGATTGTATAATTTATTATTTGTATTTATTATAAAAAATGAATAAATTTGTTATGTTTCAGTTACTTGTAGGTTCTGACGATTATGAAATAAGAGAATTTAAAGATGACATAATTGTAAATGAAATATCTGAAACTTCGTCCATTTGTTCATTAATTAGTTTTTCTGTTGGAAGATTTGCATATGCATTAGATAATGGAACTGTTGGTATATACGATAAATTTCGACGTGTATGGAGAGTGAAGGTATAAATAATTAGTAACCTATCATAATATAGTGTCTGTTTTTTCATAAAAAATAGACGTTATATGATAGACGGTTTGCGAATAATTCATATTAATATGATTAATATGTTATGACTTTATGAGACTTGTAATTTTGTCTAATAATGAATACAAATAATTATATTGGTTTTTAAAAAATCATAATACTTATAGATAAAATAATTTTTAGTCAAAAAGTTCGGTGAATTTCCTCGAAAAATATGATTTAGATGGAGATGGAAAAGAAGAATTAATAACTGGATGGTCAAATGGAAAAATAGATGCACGCAGCTCTATAACTGGAGAAGTAATTTTTAGAGACGTGTTATCTAATAGCATTGCTGGTGTAGTCGTTGGAGATTATATAAGAGCTGGAAAATGCCAATTGATAGTAATTTCAATTACTGGTGAAAGTGTGTTTAAAGTCTCAAATAATTAATGTATTATAATTTTATATTTATTTCCCTAATTCAAATATTTCATTAACATGGGTTTCTAGTCCGAGGATATGATAATACAAGTTTAAAGGTAGAATCTGGTGTTCAAACAAATATTATTCATGATCTTTTGCAAAAGAGACAGATACTCATGTCAGAATTAAATAACTATATTAAGGCATCTAATGAAGGTCAAGGAATTCCAGTAAGACTGCAATTTTTGTCACTTTATTAGTTATTACTCTGAATAGTATTTTATATGAAATAAATATTATAAATTATTATACTAAATCATATAAATTTTATGCATTTAATAATTTTAATTAATTTATACAATTATCATTCTGACATTGTTACTAAGGGAGACACACGGCTCATCACTGAAATATCAGTTTCAGAAAAAACCATTGTATGTTAATATTGATTTTTAATCTTATGGTTTCATGTTTAATATGATTTTATTATTCACTAGATATTCGTTTATATAGGAACCATGTGTATTACTTACGTTGTCAACTAACAATTCAATGATTTTAAAAGCAGTCACAGTGTTTGCTGAAGGTATTTTTGAAGATGAAACCCATGTCGTACATCCTAATCGAGAGTCTTCTTCATCTGAATTGAAAATCGCTTTAGTACCTCCGAAAGATATTCTTCTGGACATTCATATTCGAGTAAGTTCGTCTAATAAATTATATAGTTACAAAAGTGAAAAAAGTTCCTTTAGTATACTTTATTTTAGTTAAAAAAAAAAAGCTAGAATGCTCAAAAAATTCCGGTCCTAAAATTTCAAAAAATGGTATTGTACATAGACATATATTCATAATATGTATGTATTAATTTGTAATAAATCACATTATTTTTAATTTATAATATACCATAGTTTCTCAACACAGTTTAAATAATAATTATCATGTTTTAATAATATGAATTTAATATTAAAACTTTAATTTTCAATGTTTTTAAATTATTAATTTATTAGCTATATAATTTTTGGTAAATTTTTATTACTTTTTTACAATTTTATTGTAACTATAAATTAATAATTTTTACACACATCATTCTATGAATTATTTTTGTTTATTTAATTTTTGTTTTGTAAATATTTTATGCGTTTATATAAACGTGCCACATCGTACCAAATTAATAATATAGAATTGAATATATTTTAAACTATAGATGATTCTTAATCGAAATATAGTTGTTAAACAATTGTTAAGTCATTTGTTTTTTTGAAATATTACAGTTGAAAATTTCTTTTTTTCGAAATGTTATTATTGAAATATTGTTTTAAGTAATTTTTGAAAAATTACTTTGAAAAATGTTTCAAGAAATAATTGAAAATTTGTAGTTGAAATATTATTGTTAAGAAACATTTTTTCTGAAAATATACTGTAGTTAAAATATTGTATACGAAAAATTGAAATATTGAAAATTAAAATATTGTTTTTAAGAAATTGTTATGAAATATAGTTTAAAATATTGTTGTGTGAATTTTAGTAATAGTTGTGCAAATTCTTCTATGTATTATGTATTAATATTTTCAAAATTTCAAAAGCAAAATTTCTATTATGAGTAGAGCTGGTGTAATAACAGCTGTGATAAGTAAAAAACTGTTTTGTTAACTATTAAAAATCCATAGGTTTGATGAACCATAACTTAATAATTTTGACATTCAAAAAAATATTTTTTAAATTTAAAATTTGTATAATTTCTATAAAATGTATATAATTTTAAAACAAGAAAACTCGATTCCAAATAGTTCGAAATTAATCTCAAAATATTGGAGAATATTTAAAGTGGTTAGAAGTGCGAGGGCTATTTGGGCACATTGTTTGATTTGGTTTTACAATAATTAGTTTTTTATTTTATCATTATTTATTTTTTTTTGTTTATTTTTTTGTACGCGTATTTTTATATATTTTATACATTTTTTAAATCAATATGAGTAAATTTAAAAACAATAATTATATTTTAATTTGTTTAAGGCTTTTGTTGGATCAAGCGTAGATAATGATCAATTTCACGTTTTTGAACTAACACGACAGTTACCAAAATTTTCAATGTATCTATTAGTTTCTTATCCAGAAATCGAAGATGTTCCCAAAAGTTTTGTCAAATTTCGTTTAGTTGAAAGGGTTCAAAGAGTAAGAATATATTTATAAATTTTATTTGAAATGCGAAAATTTTTAATTTATTTTTACAAGCTGGATTTATGGCTAAGTCAAAATTTTATCGTGCCCCAAAAAACTCCTGTTAAAACCAATGGTCAAGATTTTTGGAAAATAGCAATTAGTTCGTTAAGAGATTCTTCTCTTACGTGTGTGACATTTGAAAAAGAAATGATGTTTATATACTCAGCGAATATAAGTCTTACAGCCGATATTGTACAGACTCTAGCATCATATCTTAACCTTGATCAAATTGATGTGAGTTAAGATTAATGTTACGATAGAAAGATATATTGTTTATTAATGGTTTTTAAGTACAGTCTGTAGCAGAATTTCCCAAAATCCTCGATGATTTATGGGAAAATATACAAAGTGTTAAGACTCTCCAGCAGAATGCAGTTAAATTAAATGTTTCAATAGCCGATAGTTCAACTTTATTGAAAAATCTCATTGTTCAAGCAGAAGACTTTCGGCTTTTAGATGACATGTAAGAAAGATAGTTTTTTTTCAACCTTTTTCTTAAATTGTTTGGAATTTTTATTAAGGTCTAATATGGAAAAATGTTTGAATGATATATTTCATATCGATAAACAAATGATTCAAAATCATCAAGTTACATGTGAAAATCATGAACAATTGTTAGTTACACTGAAGAAAATAAATACTATTATACAGAATGCTTCTCGACTTAGAGGTTAGTGATAATGAGTTAAAAAAAAATACATAAATACTTATATACCTAATAATTATTAGTATAAACAATCCATATTAGTATACTAAAAATAAAATAAGGTTAACATATAATTGTATGTAGTATAATAGGTATATCCGTTCATACAGATATGTTAATAATTTAAATATTTTTCTGACTTTTCTTGGATTTCGTTATAATTTTACTTGACAACTTTGAAAATTTAATTTACGAGAAACGAAAATCTATGCAATCAATATAAAATTATCAAATACATTTTACAATATTAAAGTTGTTTATTCTTATCATCTATATTTTATGTTTATTAGTACATATCTATATTTTAATAGATAATAACTATTGATTATAGTGTTTATAACACTGTCAAATAAATAAATCAATTAAAAGTTATAAATACAATCTTATTTTGTTTTGTTATTTTAGTAAACAATAACAGAACAGATACAATAACTTCTTATCGACAAGCTGTGGCTTCAGAAAATATGACAATTTTAAAAAAATTAATAGAATCTGGAAATAAATAAGTGTCAATTGAATTAAAAACTAATGACTAATGAGTCTCAAAGACACGTACAATATTAGATATTACTTTAATTATTGTATTTTTTTTTTTTTTTTTTTTTTTTTATGTATGACGATAATCTATATTGACTATTAAATTTTAAAACTACTTACATATTATTATATTAAAGTAAATGTCTAAGTCAAAGATACATTTTTGATTGTTTTGTGTCTGTTATTACAATTCTGTGTGTTGAGAAGGAAATTTTTTCTGTATGGCTAGGTATAGAGTTCGAAACGAATATAATGCCATTGCCACGATTAAAACAAAACTGGTAACAAATACAGCTGACATTACTGTATCGCTGATAAGATTTTTTTTTTTCCCGATTTTTTGAAACGCAGAACTACACCCATCTCCAGACTTCTCTTTCAAACGAATCAAATCTCGCATCATTTTAATTTGTTCAATTTTCTCTTCAGCGCCTGAGAACAAAAAATAATATTGAAATTTGTTCTATAATATTAATATTAAATAAACTAGGGAAGTATTTAATATCTATAAAATGTTATCTACATGAGAATGATAGTGTCGTGTAATTTTTTTCGTGTTTTTTGTTATTAGTTTTTAATTTAAGTGTTTGTACATACGCCGTTGTCCTAGACATTATAACAGCCCTAGAAAAGTATAATAATTTATAAATAACAGATATATACGTGTTATTAATAACGTACTATTCATATGTATCTCAAACGCTAATCACTACTTACAGGCTACAATAATTGTATATCGCACTACCGCAGTTGCCTGATTACTAATTAGTGATAAGGTAGAGGGGAATCAACATGTCAAGTCCATAGAGCTAGGACTTATTTTCGCGGCGAGAGAGTGGGTAAAAGAGTTTAGAAAAAAAATAAAAAGATCACCACAATCATAATATCATGTTACATGTAAAGACAATTAGACAATAGATCCTTTTAAACTTTAATTATACATTTTACACGTGCTATATGTTTTTCAATAATTACAGGTGCAATGTATTTTATGCACTAGTTCGGTTTACACAGGAATCAATGTGGTAATGAGGTATACTGGTATTATGTAATATTGTATTATATAATAATATAATTACTTTATTTACTTATAAAAGAACAAAGTGCTACTTAATTTTCTTTTAAATTTAATTAGGTATAACAATATATAAAAGGAAAAATGTTTTAATTACTATATTATATTATTGATAAAAGTATTACTACACGTATGGCATATTTCATTCACCAACACAAAAATAATTTAATAGTGTGAGCTTGTTAATGCTGCAACAAATCTACAAATATCGCATGACAACAGAAATTAATTCCTAATTATTAAATGTATTATAAATAAAAGTTTAAATTAAGTAATAAGTAGATATTACGTTATTTTATGTTCTGATGTATAAAGTAATTTATTTAATGAACAATTTCTTTATGCAATTTAATTTATACAATGGATTGTATTCTATTGTACGTAATGATATTGTATTATCTTATTGATTTACATATATTATATTGTATAAGGTATAGTATTATATATCATATTATAATATAAAATATATGATAATACTGTTATAATAGCTAAATCCATAAATCGTATTATCTAATGTACTATAATACTACTGCATCATACAATTTTATACGTCAGTTAAATGATTATATTTTATGATTTTTATTTTATAGAAGGTATGTACTATGTTTAATGTATTAATGTGTGACTATGGTATAGATATTTTGGTGATTCACCAAGCATAATCGCTTTCATGTTATCCTTTAATAATTAATGCATATAATTTATAATTACTGGAATATTAATATTTAATTAAAGACAATATTTTCAAATTCCTATGTACTACTTATTAAAAGGGTGCCCTATGGGGCAATGTAAAAGTTTATAGATGAATATTTATTAACTAAAATGTAAAATTGCCTAGCCCCATATCTTCCAAACCCATTATCATGAACAACCTATTATCCTAAGTAAACAAAAATGAATAGTTAAAAAAATCACTCGTTTGAAATTTGATTTTGGTATAAGAATTTCAGAAAAAATATCCGCTAGATAATTTACAATAGAAAAAATGAATTTACATTTGATAAATAGAAGTTTGTATCTACACTCAATACTCCTTAAGTAGTAAAAAAAATTAAAAATATGAATTTTAACTTTTAACGATTAACTGCGTTTAAAAAAATAAAAGATGAACATAACTATTGGTAAATCATTACATTAATGTTTTTGTAACATTTGAAATTGAAAATATGAACTCTATTGTATTTATTTAGGTAATACAATACCCATAAAATAAAATTAAAACTCTTAAAAGTAATATTTTATTTTATAAATTGATGATTTTTTTTTTTTAACTTACTCATTCCATCGATGTCCAACGATGTTGTTTTTGACATGTTATTTTATAAAAAAATAAAATAAATTTATCTTATTAAAACCAAGTAGATACGATGTAGGTAGTAGGTACTGATACTCAACGAAAGTTAAATATATTGTACGTACATTTATTATTATTGATTTTTATTGCATATCCAGGGTTACCATAGTTACACTAGGGATGCTGGAAATTTATATAAAGACACACTGCATTTCAAAACTTGTTGATAACTATGTAACGACAAGCATAACAAACATATTTTCCTCTCGTTGTATTATGTTTTATACTTAATCCTAATATATTTTAAGTATTTACATTATAGATAACTATAATGGAAAATTTGTTAAATTTGAACTCAATGATAAATCGTTGCTGTTGCTTACAAAAAACAATTTTAATGGGAGGTAGTGTGTTACCTAGTCTTTATTTTTAAAGATATATTTTTAATTTATTCATATTAATATCTTTTGTCTGACTATCGTTTTTAGTTTAAATATCCAATTTTAACTAAATTATAATTTAAAATATACATAGACAATTCGTTTTATGAAAAAAATCATGTCTACCTTTTTATTTAAAAGATAAAATAATGAAAGAACAATTTTTAATATTAAAATTATTAAAATTCCAAGCATTATCTATTAACATTTTAGTTAAATTAACTGCAAAAGAATTTTGAAATTTTTGTAAGTTTGACGAATATTTTATTTTTTATCATTATATCCTTACAATAAGCCAGTGGCCTAAGGCCACAATGAAACAAAGTTTAAAATATTTTACATTTGTTTAGGTATATTCAATTTTTTGTGTTTGGAATATTTTCAGTTTTTTTTTTTTATCTAGATATTTTTGTCAGAATTTATGAATTAACGATTTTATACTTTGTTTTCTATTATGTAAAAATACATTACCACTATATTCAAGATATTAATTATTACCATTGATATATATTCTAGTTAATAATATTGAAACGTTTGAAATTTAACTTGGTTCGATTGTTTAGATGTTCCTCAACATTATATGTCATACGCGTCATCGCGAGACGTAATATTTGTTTATTTATTTTTTTCTTAAGAGTAATTTTAAATCGAAGTAGTGAATCTGTGATTAAGTGATGTTCTTTTTGATTTAATGTGGTTAAACCAGGTTAGCCTTTTGTCGAGGAGGAAGAGGATATTTTTAATTAATATAATTTTTGATTCTGAATGATGAATGTATTGATTTTTTAATGATGAGTTTTTCTTATACTTATAAGTATATTGTATATGTGATAAGTATATGTAGTCAATAAACTCTTTTGGTTTTTGACTTTGAAGGTGGTTCTGGTTAGAAAATTGGATCTAGTTTGATCTTTCAATAGGTCAAACATTTCCATTATGTTTTAAATTAACCGATGAAAAAATCAAGAATAAAACGGAATTTTTATGCAAATCCAACATTTGACTAAAATAATAGTGTTTTTTTGGTGTAACTAATAAACGAATAATCGTAGATACTTGAAACTTTCACCAAATGTAAAACATTTTCTATAAATATCAATAAATATCATTCGTTGGGTCAACATTTTTGAAAATTTAATACAAGATCCCATAAAAGTTATTCTGATATATTTGTATAAAAATATTAAAAATACATAGACATGATTTAAAATATTTAACGAAATTATATTAAAATTGCAAAACATTACAAACTATTTTGATGTAAAAAATTCATAAAAATTTTACTTTTTGTATCTTATTTTTGAAAATTTTATTGGTATAAAATTCTTCTTATGTGTAGTTTATAGTGAAATCCTGAATTCTAAATAATGAATAAAAACAGTTATTTTTTATAGATATTTTAAGTTCCAATTTGGACGAAATTACTTACCTATTTTATATTTAAACAATAAACAACAATGTTAGTTATTTTCTTATAATTTAAAAACATTATTCGTGGGAACTTAAAACTTTTACGTATATTAAATTATTATGAATTTTACTATAGGCATTAAATATTAATTTTTTTTTTCGGTATTTATTGACAGATGTAATTATATTTTGAGTTGTATAATTATGTATTTGTATACCTAACCTTGTAAATTTGTAATTTGATTTATATTACATTTCAAAACCTTATTGATTAATACTAGTAGCTCAATTTAGTTTATTAGAATACTCATAAAAAATAGAATTATATGATTAATTATATTTGAAATGACAAATGTTGAAATGTATAGATATTATATTAAAACTATTACATATTAATTATTATTATACTATTGTTTTAAATATCAAAGAATGCACAGTGGTGTTCTGGAAGAGTTAAAATTGTATAAACCTTTACAATCTACCTAATTGTGTGTAAATAAAATTAAAAAAAAAATCCTATGAGTAATTTTTTCAAATGTAACAAGTATCGAGTATCTAAATATTTAAAATGTAAGTATCGAATATCTAGTACCGCGATACTGATTTTTGAGTATCTTGCCCATCCCTGTGTGTAGACTATAACTCGTATAGATCGTTGTTACTACGTACTTAATAAATAATAAGAGAAAATTAAAAAATGGTAACTGATAAATAATAAGCACGATTTAACTACCTATTTACTATATAAACTAATATAATATCTTGGTCCATGTTTAATGTATTAACTATTAAATATGTGGGTATCTAATATCTATGTTTATTTTTTAATAAAAAGTACCTACGTTGAAGGTGGTAAGACATGGCAACTAAAACATACGTTAGTACCACAGATATTTATGTTATATATTATATATTTATCTATAGTTATTAGTTAGTACCTTGTTTAATATCACATAATATTAAGTGATAGTGATTAGTGATACTAGCACTAGCACGAGTAGCACAAAATTGAAAATATCAAATATGGTGCAATCACGATAATGCTTAACTAATATTCAATGAAATCAACAGGTAGTAGGTACGTTTATGTTCTACAGTTGTAATGTGATAACATAAACTTGCATTTCACAATATTTAGAAATATTTTTTTTCTTAGTGTACCTACAGTATTCACTACTTTGTCTACATATTAACTCTTCAGTCTTTCTATAATTTCGCATTTATTCGTCAATCATTATTCATTTTTCATTGTTATCGGTAGAAAATTTCGAAGGATAATCGAGGTAAATATTAATTATTGCTATGCTTTATTTAATTTTAAAATACGCACATTTTAGCGACGCGATTTATATTTTATCAATACTTGTATTTTATAATTTAGGTTGACCAAATTAATCTATGTAAATATGTGTTGTAAAAATTAAATCAATTAGGTTTAGTGCACACAATTAATCTATTCTGTAACAGTATTACATATGTAATTGTAATGGATATAATCATTGTTTAAAAAGCTGGTATTATCAAGTACCTATGGTTTAGTATTATTTAATCAATGCACAATAAAATAATAATAATATTATTATTGTAATGCGTATTAGTTATGTATATCTTTTAAAAACAAAACATGATGTAATATTTTTGTACATATTGATATCAGGTTTGACTACAAGTGTCAAGTGTACAGTATTAGTGAAAATTATCTTTCAATGTGGTTACAGTATTTTTAATTTTATATTTTATTTTCCCACAATATAATGATTAATGAATTAACTATTAAGTTATTAGAATAAGGTATTTTGTTAAAATAATTATGTAATTACTATGTATTATTAGGTATAGTATGTACTATTTCTTATTTGGGCGTAATACAATGGTCAACAACTGACGGACCCAGGTCTGGATTTGAAGGCAGTAAATTGGACCGTCAAAATATCTCAAGTAGTTTATTTTATTAATTTATTTTAAAGATTTAACAAAGATTTTTTTTATCTGGACTTCATTTATTTACTATATGTTATCAGTTATAGAGTAATGGGAATATATAAAATTATAAAATATTTAATAAATAACCATAGATAGTCTAATAAAATATATCACTTTATAATTAATCTTTTGGCCTTAATATAAACCACATAACTTAACCTAACCTAACCTCTTGAATTTACATGAAACAATATTAACAAAAGCAATTTGCTGCTTTACAGAAAAGGTATTATCAGTTATGAAACCCTTGAAATCATTTTTAAACAATTTAAAGCATTTAGTTTAAATTGAGTCAATTACAATCAACCCTGTCCTAGTAGTATTATTTTTGTTTTTGTTTAAAACATTTTTAATAAAACAACATTTTGTTACAGCAACAATAAGAATAAACAAAAGTTTCATTTTAAATCTTGATTTTTTTTTTAAATTTAAATTGAATTGTCATAAAATGACTACAAAGTTCAAAATTACATATTTTAAATTGACTATTGTTTATTTAGGTATTATTGTGTTTTTATTTATTCTAATTTCAATACGTTTTCATGATAAATCTTGTTATCTTAATATATTCAAAATGTATTTATTTCTTCTGTTCTTGATTATTTTTATTTTAGCTTAATTTAACTGATCAAAGTCCTTTAACAATACGTTTAACCAAATAAAAATTACATAAATTTAGAGTTTAAAGGAAAAATGTATAATAAATACACATTTAAAAAAAAAGAAAAAAGATGTTAAGATACATGAATAATATTATATTATAAGACCATATAAAAAATCTTTAAATTAAGAATAATCACAATTAGACATAAAGACATCTAGAAAGGTGAAAACCTTGTTAGCTAATTGAATTCTGATAGTAATCGTAAACAATCAATGTTACCATTTAATAGAACATATATAAAATACAATATTAACGTCTTGTCTGTCTTCTAAGCCGAAAAGTTCCTAAATATATATTTTTTAGGATTTATTAGTCCTAACTCCTAGGTGTGTAACATAATTAAATCTCGTTAAAAATGTACATTAAACTTTTTCAACTCTTTATTTTAAATAGAAAGATTTTGGGGTGCTAAACAATGGTTTAAAGTAAATAATGTTTTTGAAATGATTGTGTTTATATAAACATATTTATTCATCTTTAACAATTTGTTTATTTGTAATTTATAATGAATCTTACAAGATATATCTTATGATATTATTCTAATTTACTTTAAAATCTAGTTTTACCAGTTACTGCTAATCACTATAACATAC